TCTACCGTCCTCCACGCCCTCTGGATCTAGGTTCCCTCTTGAAAGCTTGTAAGCCAGTCATTTCTTGCCTTTGTAGGGCACCCCACCCCATTTTGGGTAGCCAATGTCCAAATTGCCCATCCCTGTCTATTCTGTGTATGGAGGGGGTGGGAATGATATTCGCTGTAACGATGTGTTCCCTCTTTTGAGCTACTGCATCCATAGGTGTAGGTCAAGTTCATCAAATCCTATCAGATTACTCTTTTTCCTTTTCTTTCTTTTTCTAGTTGAGCTCTGATCATCCAGCCAGATCAAGTGGGTATTATCTGCAAGTGTGGGTGTTCTTGTGCATATGCCCTTACTTATCAGCTGGATGCTTCACTTTCCACTCCAGTCCTCTGTGGCTATGTCACTGACTCTAGGCCCAGGAGTCCCCAGATCTTGCCACACTGCTGGCCAACCAGGTCTTCACCCAGGTTCACAGTTGTCTATTGAGTGTTATAGGACTTAACCTGCAGCTTCATTGCTTTTTTTCCCTCACTTCCCGTTATCGGTGACCAACGTGCTCACCAATCAGAGCGCAGGTCTGCTCTTGTATTCCCATTGTTTTAGTCTTGGAAGGGGGTTTGCCCTGAGGGGACCCAACCACTTGCCTTGATGTCTCCTGGGAGAGCAACTTGCTTGTTCTTGTAGTAGTCAGTCAGACTGCCATTATTGTTTTGTATTTTTCCTGGCAGTCTTTCTTTCAAGAAGTATCTTCTGTTCTTCTAGCTGCTACAGGCTGGTCTCTTGTCCTTTCAAGTGGAGATTTCCCACCTCAGAAGATCTGGATGGGGTTCAGGATTCTACTTATGGTCTTATGTAATGCAGAGGCGCCACAGGAAGCCTCCTTCACTGGGCATGTTGTAAGCCCATTTTAGGTATTCCAATCAGTTGTAGGCAGAAGATGGACTTAATAGCTTTCCATGGTGATATTTCTGGCTATTTCTTTCTCTCTCCCTCAAGTGTCTACTTTATAATGGTATGCCAGGGAAACCAAGATTCAAAAGGCAGCCAAGTTTTCCTTGCATTATATTATAAAATAGACACTGGAGGGGGAGAGAAAGGAATAGTCAGAAACATCACCATAGAAAGCTTGTAAGTTTGTCCTCTGCCTATAACTGATTGGAATACCTAAAATGGGGCTACAACGTGCCCAGTGAAGGAGGCTTCCTGTGGAGCCTCTACATTACATAAGATTATAGGTGGAAGCCTAAACCACATCCCAAATCTTCAGAGATGGGAAATTTCCACTTGAAAGGATGAGCAAACCAGCCTGGAGCAGCTAGAAGAACAGAAGATACTTCTTGAAATAAACACCTCCAGGAAAAATACAAAACAATAGAGGCAGACCGACTTTTACTACAAGAACAAGCAAGTTGCTTGCCCAGGAAATATCAAGGCAAGTGTTCGGGTCCTCTTAGTGCAAACCCCCTTCCAAGACTAAGACTCAATGGAAATACATGCTCTGATTGGTGACCACGCTCGTCACCCATAAGGGGAAGTGTGGGAAAAACAGCAATGAAGCGGCGAGATAAGCTCTACAATGTTCAATAGACTCCTGTGAATCCAGGTGGAGACCTAGTCAGCCAGCAGTGTGGCAAGACCTGGGGACTCTTGGGTCCAGAGTCAGTGACACAGCCAGAGCAGACTAGAGAGTGAAGCGTCCAGCTGATAAGAAGAAAGGGCATATGCATAAGAACATCCACACATGTAGATAATACCCACTTGACCTGGCTTCAATGATTGGATGATCAGAGCTCAACTAGAAGAAAGTAGAGGAAAAAAAGCGTAATCTGATACAATTTGATGAACTTGACCTACACCTCTGGATGCAGCAGCTCAAAAGAGGAAACAAATCCTTACTGCAAGAATCATTCCCACCCCCTCCACACACAGAATACACAGGGAATGGGCAACTTGGACACTGCCTACCCAAAATGGGGGGTGGGGGTGGGGTGGCTACAAAGGCAAGAAGTGATTGGCTTATAAGCTTTCAAGAGGGAACCTAGATCCAGAGGGCATGGAGGAAGGTAAAATCTCCAGTGAGTAGTATTCAATCTGCCTAGGCAGGGCTTATGAAATGCAGATAGGTCTCTTATGATACAATAGTGAATAATTGTTATCAGGACTGACTGTGAGGGTTGGAAATGTAAAGGTAGACGTTTTATAGCAAGGAGGGGAGTGATTAACTTTTCAGTCCAGGAGCGGAGGTCCCTAGGATCATCAATGGAGAAGAGTGGAGAGCAGGACCCTACCCAGAGAAGCAGTGATGCCTGAGATGGAGGCAGAGACAATGACGTGAAGAGATGGAGCAGCTGGGGACTTAAGATCCAGAGAGGGAGAGGGGCTGTGTGTTGACAACCGGGAGCAGGCAGGCTTGCAGGGTATACCCTTTGGCTGGTTGATGATGCATAGAGGGGATTGTAACCGTGGCAATGAAACGATATACGATAGAATGAATGTAAAACTAATGTTCTCCCATGTAAACGATCACATAATTCACAATAAAACATTTATGAAAAAAAAACCACACCAAAAAAACAGAAGACAGCCAAGTACCAAGTATTTTAACATTATTTCCCCCCTTTTCCCCATTCTAACCGTGTCTCAATCCTTGTATCCCAGAGCTGTTGTTCCAAGGTTGTACATACATCATTTACCTCTGTTCCATTTAGCCCACGCAAACCTGCCTAATTGTTCTCCCATCTGCTTTGTTCTTCCATTCCCCTCTCCCTTCTTGTGTATTGCCCCCCTCTCTTCCCAGGCAGTGTTTTTTCTGTTGTGCATAAGGTTGCTGAGTTGAGGCCAACTCAAAATGGCATCTAAAAACTTTAGGTCATAAAACTCAGCTAACAGACACATGAATCCAAATGATAGACCAGCCATTTCAGTAGAAAGAATTACCACTAGTTACTAATCTAAAACTATTTGAGAAAGAGTCCTGTAGAATAAGCATTGGACTGCTACGACAAGATTGGAGTCTCAAATCCACCAGATGCTCTTTGGAATAAGCATCTTATTCATTCAACCCTATATAGAGTTGCTATGAGTCGAAATCGACTGATGCACTTAACATTAGCAGCAAACCAGGCTGCCACTTAGACAAATTGCAATATTTAGCATGTTTAATTTGTTTTCTCCTATGAAACCTTTCAATTCTTTTTACATTTGTAAATACCTAAATACACGTATCATAAAAACTAGTAAGGCATTCATAACTTTCACACACAAATTACAGCTGTGGCCCCTTTTCTCTTGTGCCCATACTTCCAAGAAAAGTGTTTGTTTTCCTAAAAATGTCCCTTAAATGCTTTCAAAATGCACTCTGAAACTGCTGTGTAAAACCTTCACTTGAAAACATAATGAAATATTTAAGAAAAGAAAAAGCTCGTAGTAAATAATTATTTCATTTATAATAGGTTTTGAGGAGACAGTACAAAAAGTACAAAATACCCTATTTTCCAAATAATAGATTTCAAAGCTAAATGTGTTTAAAGTAGACTAGAAGCTCTTTGTCCATATAAATGATTCAATGCGTGGACCCTTAGAAAACAGATTTTGGGTTATAGTTGCATACACAACAAATAGCCCATGTTTTTCCATTTGGCACATGCCTGAACTATAAAAGTAGTTATTTCCATCTAAATTGCCAGCTATGACAACAACCATATTCCCATACCATGGAAGCCCATGATATAAGAGAGCATTAAGTTTTATGACAAAGATATCCTAGGACTAAGGTCTAAAACATAAACAGATGCTTAGTAACCAAAGATGCTTAATAACTAAAGGGAAAAGCTATAGTCTTAGATAATGTACCAACACAACCACCTGAACAGCTTCCTCCCAAATGTCTTAACTATGTGCTGTCATCTGCCTGTCCACTTCTAGACTAGACCTTTGTTATCAAAGATAAAAACAGTTGCCATCAAGTTGATTCCTACTCAAGGCAACCCTGGGTGTGTTAGAGAACTGTGCTCCACAGGGCTTTCACTGGCTGATTTAACAGGTCTTCCTTCTATGGTTTCTCAAAGTGGACTTCAATTTCCAACCATCAGTTCATAGCTGATTGCTAACCATTTGTACTATCCAGAAACTCCATTCTAAGGACAACCAGAGTTGATTTCAACTCATATTGACCTGACAAAGTGCCCCAGAGGGTTTTCAAGGCTAGCATAGTGATTACAAATTGGGCTGCTAATCTTACGGTCAGCAGTTCGAAACTACCAGCTGTTCTGTGGGAGAAAGATAAGGCTTTCTGTTCTCATTGATTTACAGCCTTGGAAACCCTATGCAGGGTGGCTATGAGTCGGAATCGACTCCACAGCACAGAGCAACAAAGCAACAAATCTTTATAGAAGCAGAGTCACATCTATTTCTCGTGATATGGCCGGTGGGTTCGAATCACCCATCTTTCAGTTAGCAGCCAAGATCTCCACCACCAGGGCTCCTATTCTTAAGGACAAGGGTTCCCATACTCACAAAGGTATTCTGTTAACTGGAAAATAAGTATTGAGAGGATGAACAGTAGTTAAAAACAGTTGCTGTCACAGCAGCTATATTAATTACATAAGCAGCTATGTAAGCATCTTATTCATTCAACCACCATGAGGAGCTTTGGTTTTCTTATCTGCAAAATGAAGCTACTTTACCTATTGCATTGAATTCCTATTTTATTAATAGACAAACAATAATATAACAAATTACCTGGATGACTTAGCACTGGACAGACACGGAAGGCACAGAGTCCCCGCTCTCCACTCTCGGAGTCTCTAGTACAGCTACCACTGGACAATTCTTGATATAGTTCAATTGCTTTCCCCTTTGGTAGCAAGCAAGAGTAAACAATGACATGTTTATAATAAAAGCTACAAGTTTATTAACAACAAATTCTAGCAGTATCCAAGTTTTAAGCAGGTCATTTTGCATCTCAAATACAAAATCACAATGTTTATTATTAATTAATAATAAAAAAAAAGCAGTGGTGTGATTCATGGGTTTTAGTCCAAAATGAAAACACAGAAAACAGTGCTTATTTTGGTGGATCAGTGTTGATTCCATATTTCTCCTTCAGAAGCTTCAACTGTTCCTCCTTCTTCTTTGTGTCCATCTTTTGAAATGCCTGAAATGGTAAGCACCAAAGTTGACATTCAGTGATCTACAGCCAAAAGAATGGTCCTATTAGCACTAGTTGTGTTGGTTATGAGGTGGGGAGACAAACAGTGCAGTTCTACACTAATTCTTAAATGGGCTTACCATGTGACAAGGACCTTGGCTATACTTACCCTGTTGGCATTGTAGTACAAAACCACAAGGTATCTGTTACAAACATTGAATCCTGATAGGTGATCGCATGCATTCTTGGCATCAAAGATGTCTTCATACACTACATATGCTGTGCCTCTAGTTTCAGGTGTATTCCCCCTGCAGGATTAAACAACACTTTGGGTTGGAAACCTTACAGGCAGAAAATAGACAAATCATTAAAAAAAAAGTTGACAGTACAGTTCATAATTTGATGATGTTGTAAATCAATACTACCTGTACTCCTGTACTAAAGAGTGATGGCTTCTATTAGTTGGCAATGTTTAGAATGTTTTCTTACTGTACATTCATTTTTATCATCTGTGAACTAGTCCCTTGTTTCTGAAGATACTAATTTTCTACCTCACTCTAATTCAATTACAGTTTTAGGTCTTTTTTTTTTTTTTTTTTAAGGTTTTTATTGTGGATTGAGTGAAAGTTTACAGGGCAGATCATCAGTTTTATGTTCAACAAATCATACACCTTGTTTCATTACAATGGTTATAATCCCCTCCATGTACCATTAGTTAACAGTATTTCTCTCTATCCACTTTAGCTTTTAAAAAAAAAAAAAGAAAAAAGAAAAAACCACTCAGGCATATATAATAATTTATATCTCAAAAGGACACATTCTACAAATCTGCCTCCTAGCCACCAACTCTTAGTCTCTATCTTCCCATCAGTTTTAATTCTTAAAGACAAAACACTCAGCTTATCTTTATGGCCAAAAAAGGATGTCCTTCAATGCAGAAAGCAGTTTCTTATACTTTTCTTGAAAACTTCGGTGCCTTTTTTTATCAAATGTAAAGTAGTCAGCCCCCTTCTTTCATAATTCATTTTGATACAATCTGCAGCCTCACACAATGCACACCCCTGTTTGGCTTGGGGAAAGAGCTACTACGTAGGAGTAGAAGTGTGATTTGCAGGTGGAGATCTGAGAGCCCAAGCAAAAAGCTGAGTGAAGGCTGGAAGTAGGAGCTGGACCTTACTCACAGATATGTAGGTGTTGCTTGCCACCTGTTTTCCTCACCTCACCTGTGTTGGAAGAAGTGCAGCCAGAGTGCTCCTTGGAGGTCATGATGGCCAAACTTCATCTCTCATACTTTGGACATATTGTCAGAAAGGACCAGTCACTGGAGAAGGATATCATGTTTGGTAGGGTGGAGGGTCAGAGGAAAAGAGGAAGACCCCCAGTAAGATGGATTGGTAAAGTGGCAGCATCAATGGGCTCAAGCGTAGCAACGATAGTGAGGTTGGCCCAGGATGGGGCAGTGTTTCGTTCTGCTGTGCATAAGGCCACTATGAGTTGGTACCAACTTGATGGTGCCTAACAACAACAATCAGCTCCCTTTGGGGAGTGAAGGGGTGACAAAGTATGAGGAACAACAAGAGCACTAAATGTCAGGCAGAATGGCTAAGTGCTTACTAGAAGAGGCATTAGGCAGAGGTCCCATTTAGTTCTGGTGTGATAAGGACGGATCCCTTGCCTCCATCTATGTTCCACTACCCAGTGCAACAGTGGAATAAGGGTTATGACCGACTCTCTACAGGACTGTCTGCCACAGTTCCTGCACAGGGTTGAGAGAGGGAAATAAGAAGGGGGGGCGGGGAAGGGAGACAACCCCCTAGGGTCGTTCTAGTATAAAACACTAGTTTGGGCCTTGGTCATAAATTGTGCTTCCTATAAAATGAATGGTTTAGGGACAGGATACAGGGGATGGTCGGAGGGTGCCAGTATCAATGACTGTTTACTAAGTCCGACTGCATAGACATGATGGAGAGAATAGTTTTTATTCTCTATCATCTTTAAAACTTTTGACTTTTAATCATTTTCAAGAATGGTATGAAAGTTGGAAACTACTTGAAAGAAAAAAAAATTGCCTCAAAGATTTCCTCAAATACTTGACCTTATCTTTGCTTTGAAAAACAAAACAAGACTGTACGTTTTTAATGACAAATATGGTTGTATACTTCATTGAATTGCCACAGTATCATGCATACAGCGAATGTTAATAAACATTTGAAAGGTGAAGATCTTTCAGTAAGTTCTCTTACATATCCTTTCTCCAGGAATCCAAAGCAACAAAACTATTCCTTCCCCTTAAATTTTCTTACAAAGTAGATTAGGGATTGGCAGCAATCCATTTACAGACTCTCCATCTCTCATGTCCCAGTCCCTAATTACAAGCATCTTAAAAAACTAAATGCACGGTCAGGAGCTCAAGACCCTGTGGGCCCAAGCGTTGCAGACCGTCCAAACCATAGGCTCTGAGGATCAGACTTTGGTCACCTAGCAGACATAGCAAACTGGCCCTCATCTGATTATTCAGTATGCTTGCTAGTAATCTCATACATGAGCCCTGGATATCCACAGAGAAATGTAAAAACCTTCCCTAGAAGCCGAGATGGTAAAATCTAAAAAGGCAAAGTTCCACCCCACCTCCCACCCCCCCAAAAAAAGCTAAAGAGGATAGAGAGAAACACTGTTAACTGGTGGTATATGGAGGGGATTATAATCAATGTAATGAAACAAGTTATATGAATGGTTGAAGGTGAAACTGATGATGCGCCCTATAAACTTTCACTCAATCCACAATAAAAACCTTAAATTAAAAAAAAAAAAAGAAAGAAAACTACCTGAAAAAAAACAAAAACCTAAAAGCATGTACTTGGTACCTACTTTGCATTAGGCAATGAGCCAACATTATTTTCTTGATTGGTGGCAAAATCTTACCAATAGGAATAAGAAAATCTAATCATCTAATGTAAACCTTTCGCGGTCTCAAGTTTTTTCACACTTGAAACAGTGACATCAGGACCTACCTACATGTGATTTCAGTAATTAAAAGAGGTAACAAGTATGAAAGGGCTTTACAAAGTGCAAAGTACTAAGCATCTGCTACTATGTCAGATGACAAACCAGTTTAACTGGACCAACTCCTTTTAGCAGGAAAAATCACCTTCAGTCCTAGGTAAACTGGGAATACTGGTCATCTTAGTTTGAGGTGCTCAGTATGTGATAAAGTTCTGCATCTACGGAACAGAAAAACATATTTCTCAACCAGTAATTCAGACCCAACTTCCTGCACTCCTTTCTTTTTTTAACTTATCCATCAGATTTCCTTCTAGAAGCTTATCTTTCAAGCAGGAAAAGACATTGCAGATATGAGATGAGCTGGGTGAAAGACATTCCACACAGAGGATCTAGCAAGTTCTAAGGTCCCAAGCAACTCAGCACTCTTCTAAAGTTTTGCCTTGGCTTTCATAAATATGCTCCAATTCACAGAAGTAATCATCTTTTACTTGAATACTATCAATGAAATTATCTTCATAATTTCATCAAAACCATGTAACCAATTTCTATTTATATACCTGTTCACATCTGTTGCCACTGAGTTGACTTATTCAGTGACACTATACAACAGAGCCGCACTGCTCCATAGGGTTTCTAAGGCTGTAATCTTTATGGAAGCAGACTGTCACATCTTTCTCCACATGGGTTCAAACAACCAACTTTTCAGTTAGCAGCTGAGCACGAAACACTGTGCACCAGAGCTCCTTATTTTTTGTGTAATATTCAATTATTTATATCCAGTGGGTGGGTACCTACTAGGTTTCAGGCACACTTGCTGACCACAGAAAGCTAAAAGAATAAACTGACCAGCCCTGGAGCAGTTCATAGGCTGGCCAGAGACACAGGTGAATACACAGACATAGAAGGTAATATGAGCACAGAGTCCTGGTGTGGTGCTGTAGGATCAGCACTGGACTGCTAACCACAATGTTGGTGGTTCAAACCCACCAGTCGCTCCTCAGAAACCCTACACAGGATCGCCGAGTCGAAACCAACTTGACAGTACTTCAGCAACATGAAAGCAGAGATAAAGGATGGTTAAAACATGCTGAGAAGGAAGTATCTGACAACAAAATACTATTAGTACAATTCTTTATAAAACAAGTAGATAAGAAAGATTGCATTTATATATGGTTGGAGTCCAGATGGATTTAATATTTAATATTTAAAGAGTAAGTGCTCTTTAGCATATGAAGCCAGGTCTTACAAGCAGTTCCTTTATCATTTATGTATTTATTTTTATCATTTATTTTATTATTTTTATTTTATCATTATTTATCATGCTGCTTACATGCTAGAAACTAAAAGACACCATCTGTCAGATTATTTTACATATGATGAAACTAAAAACAAAAAGAGCTAGGCAATTTGTTTAGGGTCTCATGAGTAGTAACAGGGCCTGAATTACAACCTTATCTCTTGATCCCTAAGTCAGGGGACCTTGTATACCATTCTTTGTATGTCTACAGATTATTCAACAGTCCATGTTTCCCCTGAGCAATATAATTCTTCTGTGGAGAAAGTTCCAAGTTTTTATCAGACGCTCAAAGGTCCCTCTAAATAGAATAGGTGGTCTATGCCGTGTTATAATATTTTCATCTCCACCTAAGCACCTATGATGATATATTTTCAGCTCTTGGTTTACTTTCTGGAAAGACAGTGATCAATCTCAAAACAGAGTCTTGAAGATTCCATTAGCTAATTTTCTGAAGTAGATCACCAGTCTTTTCTTCCTAGTCAGCGTTAGTCTGGAAGCACTCCTGAAAGCAGTCTGGCATCATAGTAACATACAAATCTCTAATGACAGGTTGGTGTTGGCTGCACTTGAGTTAAACTTACCAGGAATGAAATCCAGGTCTCTGTAATTAAAGTCTTAAAACTACCTCCTAAAACAAACTGCCAGTTAACTTGACTGACTCATGGCAACTCATGTGTGTCAGAGCAGAGCTGTGTTCACCAGGGCTTTTGATGGATGATTTTTGGGAAACGAATCACCAGGCCTTTCTTCTGAGATGCCTCTGGGAAGGCACAAACTTCAAATCTTTTGATTAACAGCTGACTGCATTAAGTCTTTGCACTACCCATAGTGTCCTTATTAACTAATCAGTACAAGAAGGCTTCAAAAGTTCATGGAACATAAGGCTGCCCCTGCCTCAACACTCCAGGAATAAAAAAAAAAAAAAAGTTCATGGAACAATGGAATGAAGATAATGGAAATTTCCCACCAACTTTAAAAAAAAAACCTTGTATGTATATATAATAAATGTTAGTTCCTTCCTTCTCAACCATTTTCCTCAAAGCATTCATTACCATGCCCTTCTTTATTCTTGATTCTCACTAAGGTGGATCATTATGAGGGGGATTCAAAAAGTTTGTGAAATTACATTATCTTTTTTTTGCTTCAACAAACAGAAATTTATTCCCTCGCAGTGTAAGTGGGTAGAAGTCCAAATTCAGAGTGCCAGCTCTAGGGGAAGGCTTTCTTTCTTTGAGATCTGGGGAAAGTTGTTTGTCTTCTTTCAGCATCTGTAGGCTCAGCATTCCTTGGAGATCTCCATGTGTCTTGGCATCAATTTTCCCCTGGGTCTAGAATTTCCTCAGTGCAGGGAACCCAGGTCCAAAGTATGCACTTCATTTCTGGCTCTTCTTTCTTGGTGGCAGTGGGTTCCTCAAAGCCATTTTTCCAAGAACTTTTTTTTTTTTTTTTTTTAAACTTTTTACTGTTAACTGAATAAAAGTTTACAGCATAGATCATCAGTTTTACATTTCAAATAGTCATACATTTCGTTTCACCTCAATGACTATAATCCCTTCAATACATCACCCATCCTACTTCATATCCCTGTTTCCTGTTTCCATTCTTCCTTCTTTCCCAACCTTTCTGAATTGTGTCCATAGGTAAGTGCAGCCCTTTTGATATCAAATGGTTGACCATTCTATGGTGTGCGTACCACAGTAGTGTTGCTGTCTCCTCTATGAACCTATCGATTGCCTGGTTGAAAATGGAGTCACGGGGGTGAGTTCAATTGTAGATGCAAAGGGTGACCAAGGACCAGTAATCCTGCTTGTGTTTTGTTTTGTTTTTTTAAATGATTTTGAATTTTGTTCCAAATTTTCTCCCATTCCCTATGAACCTGTTAAAGCTCCTTCATATACTTTGTTGAACTCACTAGTTTTTTTCTAACTACAAACAGAAAATATCATCTTCCTGCTTCTAGTCTGTTAAGTCTCTGGGCACTTCACATCTTCACAACGTAGCCCTGCTTTTAGCTGTAATTTTGAGACCTTTTTATTAAAATTATATTTTAAAAATATCAGTAACACTTACACTCTGATTTGACGAATAGGTCCGTATTTTCCAAATATATCATACATTTCTTCAGCTGTGATTTTATATGGCAAATTTCTTATATATAAAATCCGATTTACTTCAGGCGGAAGACGAATCTAAAATGAGAAATATGCATTGTCACTATAACCAGGGGCAGGAGTGGTAAAAAAAAAAATACACAATAGTAAAATGCCAAGAATTATTATCTGTTGTAAATGGTATGCTCTTTTGGAAAAGGTGCTTCCAAAACAGACTACTAGTAGGAACTAAGAAGGGTCTGCTATAAAACCAGTGTTTCGCTGCTATTCATAGTTTTCAGTGACGAGCGATTTGGAAGTAGTTCATCGCTCTTTCTTCCTAGTCTATTGTTATCTGGAAGCTCATCTGAAACCTGTCCATAATGGGTGACCCTGCTGGTTAAAAATATCGAACAGAGCATGGGAACACTGAATGTTTTAAAATTGGGAAAGGTGTGCAACAAGGTTGTATTCTTTCACCATACTTATTCAACCTGTA